AAAGAAAAGAAAAAAAAAGTACATCCTCTGTCATATTAAATGTGCTAATGGTTTACTCTGTTGTTAAGTCTGGAGCAGGCCAACAATCTGCGGGAAGTCCAGGCAATGAAGAGACTGAGCCCTCATGCAAATATTGTCCAGCTACATGAACTGATTTTGTAAGTGTTGCCTGTCACGTAGTTAAACCTCTGCATGATATGGTACGTCATGTTAATTTAACAAAATGTTTCAGTGACAAGGAAACTGGAAGGGTATCTTTGATATGTGAGCTGATGGAAATGAATATCTATGAGTATATACAAGGTAAGTTTAAATCTGGCAGGGAGTCACTTTAACTTTTAGGCTCACTTTGTAGCTGTTTAAGAATCAAAACTGTTTTTATTCCTTGCAGGAAGAAAAACACCTCTGCCTGAACATACAGTAAAGCACTACATGTACCAGCTCTGCAAGTCGCTTGAACACATGCACAGGTAAAAAGGAAACACTCAAGTTCACATGAAATGATTAAATAAAGGCATTATTTGGGTATCCTGAGGCTGTGTTCTCTTTTATAGCTGTGGGATCTTTCACAGAGATGTAAAACCAGAAAACATTCTTATAAAGGTGAGATACATCATTGCAGTAATCAGACTTACAAGAATGTAATAGTCGAACTTTTATTTTCAGTGTCATTTTTAACATTTATTTGTGCAACTCGCAGCAAAACATTTTGAAGCTTGGCGATTTTGGCTCGTGTCGGAGCGTGTACTCGAAGCCCCCACACACAGAGTACATCTCCACACGCTGGTACAGAGCCCCAGAGTGCCTGCTCACTGACGGGTATTACAGCCTCAAGATGGACATTTGGAGCGCCGGTTGTGTCTTCTTTGAAATCATGAGGTATCCTGTGCAGCACAGAATTCCACCTGTAATACTTGAAGTTTGGCTAGAAGGCATCGCATTTCAGTTAAACTTCATTCCTTGTACAACAGCATTGCCTTTGCCCTTCTTTGCATTCTCAGCTTTCTGTGTAATTCGACCTCCTGTCTTCCCACCCCCAGCATAAACAAATGTGAAATGAAACCTGTGTAAATGGCTTTGCTGTGTCAATAATACCTGTGTGTTTCAGCTTGAATCCTCTCTTCCCTGGAACTAACGAGTTGGACCAGATTGCCAAGATTCATGATATTTTGGGAACACCAGATCAAAGTCTGCTCCAAAAGTTCAAGCAGTAGGTGGTCATTATGTTAATTACAGTTCATTATGGTAATTACATGTGACCGAAAGCGGCACAAATAAATTGTGAATACAGGTCCTTCCATTAATACTTGAACTGTATAAATATTTTAGATTCAGCTTATTTTTTTTGTACAACTTTAAGAAATGTAATGAAGTACTCCAAGTACACTAGGGTGGGATCTAGGGCTGAAAATACATTTAAACTCTGTTACAAACTTCATCCAAATTACACACACAAATTTATACCCACTCCAATTATCACAAAATTCTGCATGGCTTCATTAAATATGCTAAGGTTATTACACAAAACAAAATCAGCTAATCAGCACAGAAGTTTAATGTGCTCAGCTATGCTTGTCCCGGTGTTGTAATGTCTGTGCAGGTCTAGAGCGATGCATTTCAACTTCCCTCCAAAAAAAGGCACTGGCATCTCACGGTTAATCCCCAGATGCCCAGCTCCAGCTCTGTCTCTCCTCTATCAGATGCTTGCCTATGACCCCGATGAACGAATCACTGCTGAAACAGCCCTAAGGCACACATACTTTAGGGAAATAAGGTGAAGTGCTTAATTGTATTTAAGTATCTTAACTGATAACTAATATTTTCCAGAAGTTAAATTATAGCCTTCCTTAGTATCAAAGTCACAGTTTGAGTGTATTGCTTAAGGGCTTTAAATCAATATGCTCTTGTGTTTCTTCTCCTAGGATGGCAGATAAGAAGGCCGAGAGTCTTCACAGAGTTTCTGGGACTATGGATGTAATCGGAAGTTGTGTGACACAAAACTCAGTTGACCATATCTGTCGACCAGCTCGAGTTGGGAAACAACTGAGAGGGAGACACACAAGACAAACACCTTTAATGAGTGTAAGCTCAAGCTCTAAAAGTTGGCTCCAATAAAATCCACCAAATTACATCTGATACTTTCTCTATTTCCAGCACAACATGAAGCATGTAGCAGACACCCTCATCCGACGGAACATCCCTCATTATCCAGCAGAGCTGCCCAAGCTCAACGTGGTTGTACCGGGACCGCAGATCTCCTTCCCAGTCTCCACTATGCCCGCATTTACCGTCACTCACAGAGGCACACTGCCAACTATCACATCCAAAAAGTGCCAGTCACAGTTGGCCAAGGTAAACACCAGTATGACACAGGGAATAACATCTACCAAGAGCATTACACAAATGCAGTAAAATAAAAAACAAAAGGCATATTAATGGTCACTAGAAAAAAAATGTGAAGAATCAAATTAATACCACTAACCAAGTGCCCCGATGATGCTTTTTGATATGGCCTTTCATTTGGCTGCATCTACTCTCTTCACAGCCCCGGGATGACTTACACCATGCAGCTTTCAAGACCTACTATATGCCACCTCTGGATAGAAAACATGGAGGCTGCTGAGAGCCAAAAAACAGGAAGTATTACATTAAGAAGAAAAAAAAAAAAAAGCCTTTTAATACTGGCTAGACCTGTACTGAAATGGATAACTTGAGAAGACACGTCTGTAAAACATCACAACTGTGCTTGAGACGCGAGTCACGGAAGACCATAAAACCTGTTATCTCAACACTTATAACTGCTACCCCAAACTGACAACTGAAATTCATAAACGGCATATTCTTTAATGCCGCGGATTAAGAGCATGGAGGTTTAGTTTTACTTGACTTTGTCAGGTTTCATTTGTTTATGACTCTTAAAAATTGAACACACTGTACAGTGGGAACTTCTTGTAAAGCAATACGACCCCTGCAAAAAGCAGCCACACCACTTGGGCTTGTGTTTTATTATTGTACAACTTTGAATCAAATGATTAAGCCAATTTTAACCCCCC